GCAGCCATCCTAAGAAACCCCAAACATAAAATTGACCTGGAAAACCAAGGCATATATGAAGTCCCCTGTGCATCATGCCCTGCCACATACATTGGACAGACCAATAGAAGAATTTGTACCCGCTTGGATGAACACAAAAATGCAGTAAAAAAGCTGGAACACACTTCCTCACTAGTCCAACACATGAAAGCCACAGGTTATAGCATCGATTTCAATGGCACCAAAACTCTAGTCACTATAGAAAACCCCAGCTACAGAATTATCAGAGAAGCCATAGAGATTGAAAAAAGACCTGAAAGCATGAATAGAAGAGATGACTCCACCAGACTGTCAATTATCTGGAAGCCTGCACTCTCAAACACCTGGGCACAAACAGACTCCCCCTGATACCTCCAGCTCACACACACCCAACCAGGAAACCAGATGAAACCTAGCTTCCTAATAAATGATAGCCATCCATTTACTCGGAGCCAAGCTGCATTAAAAGCCTCCAATACAGGAAACACAATGTTGCCAGCCAATCAAGACAAAAAGAAGCTACAAAACAGACAGAAGTTATTAGAAACACCAATCAAGCAGAACACAGCAAACTCCAAGACCAATAAACACAGACCAAGACTCCCAACCAATCAGGATGAAGAAAAAACCATTCTGGCGCAGCAGTAGGCTAGCCCCAAATTTAAATCTGAAACCACTGTAAAAGTCTGACTCACAGACGAACACAATACAGAAGCCTGATGATGGCAGGTGAGATTCTGCCGAAACGTTGCTACAACTTTAAAAGCACAACTACAATGACGTGGGAAAATACCCGAACAAAGCTGAATACCATACATGTAAGTACCCGCGAAAACTTAAGAAAATATATATATATTATATATATATAATTTTTAGAAAATGATCTCTAGCTTCCTTTTGTTAAGAACAAAAGAATAAACACATGGTCTAGTTACTAGTAGGAAGGGATTGAGGGAGATGTGTGCTGATGTTTTAAATTTTAAATGAAGTTTTCATTTTTACGGACAACTGAAATTTCTGAGAGTTATAGTTAGGATCTCTAGAGGAAAACAGATTAGGAGAGGATGAATCTAAACATGTTGGTAAGAAATGGAATGACTGTTTGGCTTTGTGCTTGAGGGATTGTTTTGGGTGTATAAAGCTATATGAAGTCTTATATGCAGACATGAATGCAAGTCATTAAAAAGGTAACATATTGTGCTTCGAGGCTCCAGATGGGAAACAAGTGTTTTTGGTATTGCATGAAATCAATAGGTAGTAGGTGGCCCACTCTTCCCTTGAGATTTTCCAGACTTTTTTTTTTCTATTTTTTTAAATTATTTATTTGTGAAGCATATATTAGATAACAGATATAAGTATAAACATGATTATTAATACATAAAATGGATATGAATAAAAAGAAAACATTAGGACAGGGACGGTAGGCACGTTGGTGCGCTTATGTATGTCCCTTACAGACCTCTTAAGAAAGACTGTCGACAGTCTAAGGTTAAAGTTTTTGGGGTTTGGGGAAGAAACCACAGAGTCAGGTAGAGTATTCCAGACATTGACCACTCTGTTGCTGAAGTCGTATTTCCTGCAATAGAGTTTGGTGCAGTTTACCTTGAGTTTGTATCTATTGTGTGCTTGTGTATTGTTGCGGTTGAAGCTGAAGTAGTCATTGATAGGTAGGAAGGGATGATTATTTGTTTTACTTTAGTGTTGACAATTCGGTCCTAGCCTGTGTCAAGTTAAACCTTAACAGTAGCAAAATCAAGTTCACTGGTCATCTTATTCCAGGTTACCTCATATGGGGAGCTGCATTGCATATTTACAGTACTGAAAGCTATATTTATAGCTATGCAAATTGGTTGTCCTGTTGGTTTCTGGTGATGTGTCCTCTTTTTTTTTTTACAATATGTGAAAACTAACTGCCTGTCCTGTGCTTGATTGTCTAACTTATATTTTTTTTGTATTTTCTTCTTCCTTTCCCCTTTCCCAGAATTTCCTCCCTTACAGAGGAAAGAGTTTGCCTGGACAAGCTACTTCCTCCTAAATTGCTTTTCTTTGATAGATAGGCTTCACTTCCCTGAAAGGTGCTAGCAGCAAGTTAGCTCAACCTTGATTAGCACCTTTGCTGCCTTGTGCTGCTCTCTGAAATTGCCGTGGTCTTAGTCAATTAAAACCCCAAGTCGTTTTGTTTTTTTATTCCTAAGTAGGGAGAAACACTGCCAAGGCATTCCTTTCAATGTGTATTCCCCACTGGGTGCTTATTCTCTTGCAATCTCTTCACCTTCCTCTCTAATGAAAGTAAATACAAATATTAATTTCCCGCTTGTTAACTGTCCCTGAACTGAGTAAGGATTCCAAAGGGTGAGGTAATGGGGAATAGAGCTATAAGATATGCCCTTTTCCTACCTAGTCTTGTAGACAACCATCTAAACATCCTAGTAGAAAACCTAGAAGTCTTAGCAGACAACCATCTAAACCTGAGCCAACAGTGTGTGGCAGCAGCCAAAAAAGCCAATGCAATCCTAGGTTGCATTAACAGAGGGATAGAATCAAGGTCACATGAAGTACTAGTACCACTCTACAAAGCCTTAGTAAAACCACGCTTAAAATACTGCAACCAGTTTTGGTCACCCCAATAAAAAAAAAGATGTTGAGGTTTTGGAAAGAGTTCAGAGAAGAGCTACAAAAATGATTAGGGGCCTAGAAGCTAAAAATGTATGAAGAACAATTGCAGGAACTCAGTATTCCTCCTAGTCTAATAAAAAGAAGAACCGGGGATGACATGACAGCAAGTCTTCCAATACTTGAAGGGCTGCCACAAGGAAGAGGTGGCCAACTTGTTTACCAAAGCAGGGGGCAGGACAAGGAACCATGGATGGAAACTAATCAAGAAGAGAAGCAATCTAAAACCAAGTAGGAAATTCCTAGCAATGGGAACAATTAACCAGTGGAATGACTTGCCTGCAGAAGTTGTGAGTGCCTCATCACTGTAGGCTTTTAGGAAAAGACTGGATAGCTGTTTATCAGAAATAGTATAGGTCTCCTGGAAGAACAGGTGGTTGGACTAGATGACCTCCAAGGTCTCCTCCAATTCTATTACTGTTAGCTTCCTTGTAAGTTGAGTTCCAGAACATGACTCTCTCTTACAATTAGGACTCATCTGGCTGATTGCAGTCGTGCCCTCTTGATATCGGAAGTGTTTAAAAGCAACTTCTTAGTAAATATTTTTTAAGTTTTATTGAACTCCTGATATCTCTCTTGGTTGTTCACCTTCTTTGGTCTCTGTCCTGCAAATTCTAGATTAATGGAAACATTTCCATTTAGAGAGTTTTCTCAAGTTTCCCAACCCCTTTCTTTTAATTGTCATTATTAATCCCTGTGCCTTTTATTCTGCACCATCTCCAGAAAGAATGTAATAAAATGTGAAGATGTTTCTTTTCCTTCCCGGTTCTTTCATTCCTTGCTTGGAAATATCAACTCAAAAGGAGATAACACCTTAGCAAATGAACAGGTATGAGCAGGTAGTAATATCATAAGGAATCAACCTCAGGCTATAGTATAAATGTATCTGACAATGACACTTCCCAAAACAGCTCCTATTTCCTCCTCTGCCTCTCAATTCCACAAGCCCTACCAGATCTTTAAAAAAAAAAAAAAAACTGGAGGATTTCAGCATGACTGTGTTGTGCAACTAAATCATTTCTACAGCTGAGGCATGACTGAGTATGTGAGCCTTTATACCAACTTTATCTGCATGGATTATTATGGTCTTTGGAGGATTCATAACAGTGTTTCAGTTAAATTGCATTGATTCTGTTTCATGTGATTAATTTTTTGTTGTTTTGGATTTTCCTAATAAGATGTAACAGTTGAATTCTGGGACAAAATCTGAAGGAAGTTGTTATTGTTGCACGTTCAACAATGGTTTTGTTTCCAAAACCCACGCTTGGAAATTACATGTCTGCTTCCCAGCTGTGTGAAACATGTCATAGGACAGACTTGAAATCACACTTCTTAGGAACAGACTTTGCACCGATCCAAATTGTGAAAGGTTATTTCATGTGTATTGAGAGAAAAGTCATGTGTTTAAGTGATTATGAAATTAGTTTTCCATGTCACAAGATTTCAGGGGCACATGAACATAGCAGTCACTATTTCTTTAATGTTGATCACTACTAAACAAAAGATGGCCAGTAAGATGGACTATTGCACTTTCTTCGATTCCATCAGAAAATTGAAACATGATTATAGCCATTTAGTTTTATTACAAATTGTCAACAAAAACAAATCTTGTTTTGCAGCGTTTTAACATAGATCCATTCCATGTTTGATGTAATGTTATGAAGCTTTCTGATAATGAATAATTATGTAATTCCCCACTTCAGTTTCAAGAAGTTCTTTTTTCCCCAGACCAAAATCTCAGGCTTATTCATACAATTATGAATAAAAGCCATACAAATTAGTAACCTAATTAGAATGAAACCAGAAGCACCACATGTACTGAGGGAATGTTCAATATATGGTTCATATGTCTCTATTTTTTTTCCTGAAAGTGGCAAAGGAGCAACCAAGTCTGAAACTATTATGAAACTATTATTATACCCCAGCAAACTAGACAATGGTCAAAAAAGCAGCAGCTGACTTCACAGAAAGAATGTGGGGGTGACAAATGTCTCAGAAGGAACATTCCCTAGTTTCAACATGGCTTGTATTTTCACATTTCTATGAAATGTGCCTTCTGAAAACCTAAGAGAAATTAATCAACAGATGGAAAAAGTGTCTCTAAGGCCAGGCTTTTTATAGTCTTCACTATTTCTCCCACTTGGGAAGATGTGGGGCTGTGGAAACCATTGCATGTGTAAATCAAGTAATCCCACATGGTTTAGAGTCTAGACAGCATAATTTTCATGCCTATTAACTTTACTCATTTTTCACGAGAAATGAAGACTGTATGACAGTAGGAGAAATAGATGACACACTTTTGACATTTGTAGAGTTCGGAGTATTTTATTATTTTCCTTTGCAAGTATAAATATTGACAGTAATATATAAAACATTGACACGAAAGAACACATGTTCTTGCTGTCTCTTTTGCTGCAAAACACTACTACAGCTACCCATTTGGGAACATAAAATAATGTTTCCACATGTCCTTTGGATTTCTGTTAAATATTAAATACTTTACAAAGTTATTTAAACATGGCCCAAATATCTCCTTGTGGCCAATACCAATAATACAGTTTTCTCAGAAAGATAAACACATTTTTTTGTATTTATTTACTGCAATAATTTAAAATGCTAAAGATCAAATCCTTTATTTGGAAGAAAAACCACATATGATTAGTTAACATAGCCCATTCATAAGCTTAGCTTAGGCCAAGGTAGCTCAGCTGGAGATATACCATATAATCAAACTCCACCTTATTAAAGTACTCAATAAGCCACTGCTTTTTTATTATATTCCTCCCTTAGTTTCCTTACCTTTTCCTCACACTCCCTTCCCTAGTTTAGATTTTGATGTAGAGTAGGGTGAAAAGGTTTTAAGAGGACTGCTGGAGGGAAAAGAAGTCATATACTGTAGTAATTGGAGCATTCCTGTGGATCTTTAAGAGAAGACCCATGTTAATCTATGGCAGTGCTTCTCAATCTCAGCAATTTTAAGATGTACATGAACTTCAACTCCCAAAATTCCCCAGCCTGCATTCTGATTGGGGAATTTTGGGAGTTGAAATCCATGCATCCAAGGTTGAGAAACACTATGGTACCCAAAAATTGGGAGTTTGGTAGCACCTTTTCCTACTAACAAAACATCAAGAGGCATAAACTTCATGTAATCTGATTAAGTGAGCTGTTCTCACAGACGTTAATGCTTTTCCAGAATATTTGTTAGTCTGAAAAGATGCTACCCTAATGCCACTGAACATTGAAATGGTCTGACAAAGCTAGTTTAGATTCTAGGAAGCAGATGATGGACATAGGAGCAGCCCACTAATCAGTAATAGGCTCTTTCAGAACCTGTACATAACAACTAAAATAAGACACATGTCCCACAGAATTCAATAGCACCCAGTTCTGTCTAAAGTGTGCCCAGGACTTTAAACACTGAAAACATTGTGTCACATGCCAGTTCATGTTTAGGTTTCTATCCATAGCAGTACTTTTAAGGGAAAGGTATATAAAACATGAAAGAACCATAGAGATCAGTGATATCTTTTTTTTACATTACAGGGCATATTTTATCATAGATCCATCCTATATGATACCGTAGTGCTTTAAAATGCCATGAACTACACTTATAGTATTATCGTCATGATTTGTTTTCACGAAATTGGTCATCAAGAGGGTGAGAACAAAACTGTCCATTATGTATGAAATGTCCAGGTTCCAATTCCTGCTCTTGTGTTGGTTTGTGCATGGCTTTGTTCCACAAATATAAAGGACACCATCATTGATTTAGGAGAAAGTCAAACTGTCTACAAAAAGATCCTTTGTTATCAAATCATTTCAGGAAGGGAGACAATAGAGCACAGAGTAAGGAATTTGCCTCACAAAAAATTATTCCTGTTTCTGAAGTCAAGGAAGACCTCTGGCACACAAGAGGATTATTTACACATGTAAACCATTTACAGTAGAGAAATCTTTCAATTACTTTAAGACGGAGGAAGTGACAACATCCTGCTAAGTTGTCTGCTTTTCTTCATACATAAAACAAATGGTGCTATTTCATCCTGAGAAAAACAGAAAATGAGACACAAGACTCTTGAAATATCTGCAATTTGAAAAGTGCAATTATGCGATTTGCACTTCTATCAGTCTCTAAGGCTACCAATCTGTTTTACTAGCTCATATATTCCTATAAAGAGCTTGTTCTGCAAATATTGGCAGGCTGAAGTAGCTGTAATTTATATCATTAGGCAATAGGTAATAAATTTTTGCTTGCAAAGCAGGAAATGTATCATTTTTCATTGGCATATGTAGGCAAAATATATAAGTAGAAAACAGTTTAAATATAGTCTATCACAAAAGAAGTAGAAGCTACTGATTCTATTGATAAAAGGGGCATGCATTTTCTATAAATTTGCCAAATGGGAACCGCCCGCTATTAAAATATGTCAGATATATATCCCTATTCAATATATATGCATATGTATATGTATGTATATATGTATGTATATATGTACACACACACACACACATATATAAATAAAAACAAATCATCCAAAAAGAAATAGGAAAGGCATTAATGCATCCTCCCTGCAGTTACTAGATTTCTAGGTACAGTATATAAAATGTTTCTAAATTGGCAATCAGACGAATCCATGAAAATACCAATTCTCTTAATGGGAAACTGCTGAGTAATAATGTACATAATTGTAGTTAATGATAAACATATATAACAGCAGGATTTTAATTCCTTTTACCTGGCCAAATTGGATCTCTCTATGATATATTTTATGCTGCTTTAAGAGCTCTCCAGCTGCTTGCCATTTCAAACCAATTAAATACAGATGAAAATGTTTCAAGACAAAGTAATTTATAGCACCTTATAGTATCAGCCATCGCTATGGTCATATAAAACCCATCTCTATTAGTGAAACAGCACTACGGGGATGGCTGGGTGACATGTTAAAATATGATGAATCTCTGGTATGGAAATACTCTGAAATAAATGGTCAGATTCTATAAACTACTTAGCATTCTGGACTCAGTTATTTTTGTGTTAGCACAAGCAAATTTTAGGTTATGCAGATAAGTGTAAATGCAAAACTTAATTATGTGTCATCAAGTCACTTTTGGCTCCTTGTGACTACTTTGATTTTTCTAAAAACAAAAGTTTGCTGAAATTATTGTAGGCAACCAATTATGCATGAAAGTCATGTAAAGATTAAGGGTTGTGATCTAAATCTTTGAGTCGAGATAGCTAGTTTGGTCTAATGGTTTAAGGCAGGGGTGTCAAACTCATGTCATCATGGTGGTGTCATGTGACTTATCGGGACTTTTTTTCCCCTTCACTAAATTGGGTGTGGCCAGTGTAGGACACATCCAGCCCGCTGCCTGGGAGTTTGACAGCCTTGGTTTAAGGCATCAGGCTAGACACCAGGAGACTGTGAGTTCTAGTTGACATTCTAGGTAAAAGATTCAAGCAATTATCTAGAGTAATATGTGATGATTTAACAATTCAGAGAGTGAGAGGATTTACATCTCATTCCCAAACATCACTAAAATTAAATAATAAATGACAAGCTATAAATTTATTTAAACTACCAATTATTTATGTCCTAAACCAACTTAAATAGTCTCAACCCAAATACACAGTTTCTTTACATGAAATTTTACCAAGGCAGAAGCATGAGGTATATACTTCATATCTTTCTCCAGAACTGGGTTACCTAAAAGTAAATAGAAGCTTTAAATTATTTCACACAGGAATAATTGTAATTTTAGTGAAATCAGAAATTCTAACAGAAGAACATTTCTTCTCTCAATATTAGAACTTTATAAATGTATTTGTAAAAATATGCTTCATAGCTATGGAATGTCCTCTGACATTTTTAATTATATTCATATATTAGCTATAATTCAGTACCTTTTATTTTACTGATATTAAAACAACTGTAATATTCATCCCCAATTTTAAGAATTCATGACAAACTGACTGTAAAATAATTACTTGCATTTTAGAGCAAAGATTCTTCAGAATGTCAAAGAACTATACAAAAACACATGCTTACCTGTGTGTTATCATGTGTAATACACTTTTCTCTTCATGAGTCTTCCTAGAATTAACTGAAAAAAAAAATGTTATCCGTTAATTCTGTTCTTCACTGATGTGGCTCTTTATGTCACCGTGATAATCTTTCCTCTGTGAATTCTTGGCAATGTATATGGCTCTATTCCAATGAGTTTTATGGCTGTGTGGTGGCAAGTAGATGAGTTTTTTTTCCTTAATCTCAATACCCTAGTGAGTTTGTGTGGTCCTTCATTCACATGTCCACCAACCATTCAACTGTGGAAAGCTTCTCTGAGCATGTATGGTGATGGCACTGGATTAAGTTAGAACTAGGGTCTCCCAACCACTGGGAAACTGGTGGACCATCTGAAACATGCTGAACATATTAAATGAGAAATAGAAGTGGTGTTCAGAAGGTTCTGACTAGTTCTGAAGAACCGATAGCAGAAATTTTGAGTAGTTCAGAGAACTGGCAAATACCACCTCTGATTGGCCCCACTCCCATCTATTCTCTGCCTCCAGAGTCCCAGCTGATTGGCTGGGTCTTTTTTGTTGTTGTTGTTGCCCTCACAGGAGTAAGGAGCTGGAAAGCAGGTTAGTGGGGTGCGGAGGGAATGGAGATTTTATAGTTCAGCAAATAGATGGGAGAGCGGCCAGTCATAGGTGGTGTTTGCCGGTTCTCCGAACTACTCAAAATTTCCACTAATGGTTCTCTGAACTACTCAAACTTTCTGCTACCAGTTCTCCACAACTGGTCAGAACCTGCTGAATACCACCTCTGCATTTTGACCATACAATTATCGTAATATCAGTATTAAGATCAAATAATATAAACAAGATTACAAACTACTGCTCAATGTTTTTTTAACAAAAGCATGAACATTGCAATTCAGTACAGGTTACATGATCAATTAATCACTAAGAAACTTATGGGAAGCATGACAATATGACACGTATGTGTGAATCAGCCAATAAGTTCATATTATGACTTTTTAATTTCCCAAATAATCATCAGACATAGAAATCCACCAGGATGCTATAATTGGAAGGCTTTTTATAGTTGGATATTAGAATGCAAAGTCTTACTTAGACAATGTGAGAGTTGTTTCACAAAACCTATTGTGTCCTGAAGAGGCTACAAAATGTCTCACACATTGATTTTGTTTGTACACCTCTTACTCAGAAATGGAAAGCATGTACAGGAAAGCCATCTAGCTTTTTAGGAGAAATATCAGATAATGGAATTACAGCAGGGCATATTAACATATCTACTGATGCATTCAAGTGTGAAAGGGAAGTAAAATACTATCAATCTTTATCATTGGAATTCTAGAACCAACATTATATTTTCTAATGAATGTGGCAACTTCTGTAGGGCACAATTATAGGAAGTTCAAACTAGTTGGAAAGTATCAAACTGAGGAAGATTGACTTACAGAATATTGGCCTTCTGTAAGTGTCAAGTATAAAATCCAAATCTATTATGTAAACAAAACTGGAGATTTCATACAAATATTAACATTTACTGCTGAAGCAAGAAAGGGTCAATCCCTCTCTTGAAAGAGATTTAGAGATAATTGCAGTCATGTGGTGGACTGAACTTGTAATCCAAAAGTCAATAAGTACATATAGAATTTCTTATGGACATTTTGGGTATTTGGCATACCCCAGACAATTTGCTTTTAGTGTTTTTTCAAAAAAATAATAATGTATTTTTATGGGTTGTAGTCACATTGTTAAAACGCAGCACCAACTACGACATGAACTGCGTATCTAAAAATGCCTTAGCAATTCTTGTCTCTGGGTCTCATATAATACCCAAAAGCATTCATAGAAAAGATTTTGGGAATGCAGTACCTCCTAGAAAAAGAAAATAAAGAGAGTAAGTAGCATACCGGGGTGCTAAAGGTGGCAATGGAAAGCAACCATATCCATTTATAAGAAATGGATATTTTGGAATGGATTCTACCTGCCCTGATGGGTGTGCTGCTAATGGGAAAGCTACCACACTTCTAGAATACGTTTTCTAAAAGGGTTTGCCCCCCCCCCCAAAAAAAAGTGTGTGTGTGAGGAGAAATTGTACTGATTTGCTTCTTTTGCATGTTTTACCCAGACAGCATTGGCTGGACATAAACTATTTGACTTCAGAGCTCACACTTAACATGATGCTTGACAAAGGATGCTTTAGACCACAGGTGTCAAACTTGCCCGCATCGTGTTGTCGATTTGACCCGTGGGTCACCAGTTTGACACCCCTGTTTAGACATTGTCCCTGGTTGTTTGTTTGTTTATTTATAAAAATATAGATGCTTATTTTCATTGCAAAGGGACTCTGGGAGGTGCATAAGTAAAATATTAAAATATTAAAACTATATATAAAATTTAAATGAGGCAAAGCAAGTTAAAATTCAACATTAAAAATTAATTAAATTAATGAAGATAATGTAATTATGAATTCATTACTGGAAGATTTGGTACCCACAATCCTTGCTTTCTATTTCCTCTTCATAGGCAATATTTTATTATTACTGCCACTGGATCTCAATAAAATTTCATATAAAAATAGATTTCACTACATGCAAAATAATAACAAAGGGTGCTTTGAAAAGGGAATAATTCCAACTGTACTAAGCTTTCTGCAAATGAGTAAAAAAATGCCCTGAGCATTCAGTATAATATTCAAAGAAAAATTGACATGACGGAATTGTAAAAGCTATCGTTAAAAAAAACAACCTCTTGTACATTTTCCCTATGCAAATTTTCCTTGAATGTTATTGTGAAAATACAAAGCTAAGATAACACGCCTTTGGCTGATTGTGTGTTAGTACTTCTTATAAACTTCCAAGCCAGTGTTGATTAATTAAAATTGATCAATTAAAACTAATGTTCTATTGTTACAACAAAATTGTTGACTTTTCCGCTGCATAAATCAGTACCTGACAAAAGTTTGTGTCCAAGGAGAGCCAACATGATTAGAAATATGGCAAGAAATGCTATGAGAGAGAGGATGCTTAAGGAATATTCATAATATTCTTGAGTCCCAGTAGAAGAGTCTGGAATTAAACAAAATAGTATCTTAGATGTTCATCTAAGAATAAGTAGGCCTTATTATTTTCTTTTATTAAATTTTGATAGTTCTTCTACTCAAAGCCAAATCATTATGAAGAAAAAACAGACTGACAGGCTTCATAACAAAAGCACCATGTAAATGAATTAACAGGGATTTATGGCTATTTACCATTAATCATCATGCTCAGACAGCAAAGTGGAAGATCCAATGGAGGTTAAAATGGATGTTGACCTACTCCAAATATCACAGGAGTGTTGCTATCATCATGAACCCACATGAACCCACTAATATGGAAAGCCTCCCAGTGGATAGTTTGCTGGAAATTCAAGTAATGAAACACCCCAATTTTCAATTGTTGGGAGTGGGAGAAAGGGTGAAATACATGAGATACACACAAGGAATACTATATTTTAGGAATTCTATATCCGTGTTTCTTATAATTTGCTTGCTTCCATTCCTCTTTCTTTGAAAATATGCAAAAGAATCTTTGTTTCCTAATCTATTAGAACAAGAATGGACAGAGAATAAGAATATAATTCTTGGGCCAAACACAGCTATCAAAGCTCCTCCACGCTCCCAAAATACTGTTGTATCTTTTGCCCTCAGTACAATTTGTTGAACAATGAGAAATCTGTAAGTGCTGTGCTTCATCTACATACTATTACAATTCTTCTATTTGTCTATAACCTTTAACTGTGCAAAACGGTGGGTGCACCGTAGGGCAAGAATTTTTGAACTAAGGTGCAGTATCTCAAATGGATGAACTTATTACAGAGTGCATCTAAAATACAGCAGCCTTGACTCCCATGGAACTGAAATTTGGCAAATTTTATAAAGCATTTTATAACATTAAATTATTGTAATTATTATGATGTAATATAAAATGCCATAAAGTATTTCCTGTGGTCATTTCCAGACCTCATATTTGACCATACTATATACTGTACTTCACCATAGGGTATTTTCAAGGCAGGCATCTCTGAATCTCATAGATAATCATCTTGAGAATCCTTACCTTTTTTCCTTTTTTTTTTTTTTTTGGTACCTTTGAGTCTGCATTGCCTACTGATGACTGCCTTCACTATCCTGTATTTTTCCTGACAAGATTTCAAAACTGGCTTACCATTGCTTCCTTATTAGGGCTGAGAGAATGACTGGCTTAAAGTCACACATGTAGCTTTATGCCTAAAGTGGGCGTAGAACTCAGGCTATCTTAGTTTGATGCCTTAACCACTACACCAAACTGGTTCTCATCTTTAGCCTGCCATCACATTCATTGTCAGATTTTATCTATAGGTCTGGAGGTTTTATTTGTCAAGTCAATATCTTCTCTTAGTTTGTCCTCCCATGGCCATCACGACCGTAAACTTGGTAGCTGCATATTATCTTCTTTCAGTTATCACCAGGATGGCAACCTCAACAGTCCGTATGTATTTGTTAAAGGTTTTCACTTCATTGAGACATCTTCATGGGGTCCTCAGAACAACCTTTCATATTCAAGAGGCAAATAGTCTTGACAAAGGGCCAAAGTACATCAACTGCCCACCACAACTGGTTGAAAACTCTAACTCTCCAGATTTGGTCACTTTAAGATGTGTGGACTTTAACTCCTAAAATTCTTCAACCAGCCATGGGGTTGGGGCTGGGCGATTCTGAGAGTAGATGTCCACACATCTTAAAATTGACAAAGTTGAGAAGCACTTAGTAGTGTGCCAGCTTCCCAAATCACATATGTTAGGAACCCTTAGATGTTTTGCCTTATCACATATGAAGTAGCCTTTTTTCTATTGAAACTTACTGCAGGGTAAATCACAGATGTATGAAGAAACAGAATAGTCCACATCTGTCCTCCATCCCTTGTTTAGAAAAAAGAAAGAAAAGAAAACATTTTCCTGAATAATCATGAGAGACAACATGCAGTAAAATCCAAGTACATATATTCTCAGGTTTTTTTTTTTAGCATATAGATAAAGTACAAAATGAGGGAAGATTTTTAAAAATTGTTCTTTAATTTGTGTAATGAAACTTCTTCAACAAAACAACCAAGGTCAGAGAGCACCAAGGACCTTAACCCCTCATTTCAATCCTGATCTACAAATATTCTCCCTTATTAAAAAGAACAGCATTTTGTGAGCATGAATAATGAGGTAACTACTCTGAGAGAGTTATCATAGGAATTACTTCAAAAAGATTCAAGTTGGCCAGCACAGTTTCTAAAATACTATTTCTCAACCCTGGCAGCTTAAAGATATGTGGATTTCAATTCTCAGATTTCCCCAGCCAGCCACGTCCCCAATTCTTGGAGTTGAAGCCCATACATTTTCAAACTACCATGGTTGAGAATGCTGTTCTCAAGATAGGATTTACCTATTTTGAAAGAAGTTCAGAGAGTGCATAGAAAGAATACCTTCTCATTGGGTATATGCAGTATATTTGCGTCTTCATGTCATTCCTGACAGCATTTTCAAAAGTATCTTTCCCTTGCCTCCTTCAAAGGGCTAAGAAAGAGTGACTGGCTCAAAGGCTACTCTATTTCTGCACTGTAACAATCCTGGTGATCACACTAGCTGGCAGCAAAGTTATCGTGAAGCCTTATGTTGGCAATTGATGAGGATCTGTGTGGAGAACTTCTGATCCAACAAGAGGCTTATCAAACCCATTTCCAGAGCAATTATTCTCATTCAACTCACTGCTGAAATCTGTCATTGTTTTAAAAAAATAAAGATAATCAACCAAATGGAAGCGGTCAAAATTCTTTGGAGAGAAAAGTGTTCTCTCAAGTTCACTGCATCAGCAATACCTCTCTGCTTTTTTTTTTTTTTTTTACTTGTGACAATGATAGCTGCAGAGAAATAATAAACCTGAACTTATAAAGAATACTTTGAAGCAAAATACCATATCAGAAGATCACTTGAAAGGCTTCTTGGTGCTCCTAGTTGAACAGAAATGTGCCAGAAAATTGGAAACACCAAAGCTGAGCAAATTAAAAGGCATTTGAGTGACTCCACTTACAACTCCACTTTCAGGATCCCTACCTATACACACTCAAGAATAATGGTGCAAGATCGTGCAGGATGAGCTATGCTCCAAGGCAGCAAAATACACACTGACAATATGGATGCTTTGGCCACTAGATTATATACCCCAAACCTAAAAGTAGGAGGAAGAAATCCTGCCTGGAAAGTAAATTACTGCTCCTAATGTTTGCATTTAGCTGGTTGATTTATAGAGGTGTGTTTATTAGTACTGCTTTATGTGCATGCTTTTGGCCTCAGTTGGCCATTAAAAATGCAAGAAACTGGTCTGATGCTGGATTTGTTGCTACTTATGCTGTGATTGCCCTCAGTTCATGGTCTTCAGGGTACAAAGGCTTTTCCCATCCTGCCCAGCTATGATGCTGCTCCTACTTCTCATCTTTATTGGCAGCTATTTGGGCTCTGCTTTCTCCGCATCTTAGGAATTTCACTTCCAAATAAAGCAGGGACTGAATCCAGATCATCTTCTGTGAAAATTTTGAAAATATGATCTCTGTCAGCCAGAGATAGCTGCTTTGCATAATTTAAAATGTTGGATCACTTCCCAGATTGTTAATGTCATTGTATTTTAATGTGAGATGTTGTGATTTTTATCTTTTATGTGTTTCACACACACACACACACACACACACACACTTTTAGTTGTTAATTGCATGCAAATCAATAAGAGAGCTTAATATCAAAATATATACCTTAATGCAGACATTTGAGCCACATGGTTTCCCTGAAATGTTGACAGATGGTAAACTTAATCCATCCTGAAAAATACAAGTCAGAACCAAGTTAACTTCAAGAAAATAAAGCCATATAATCTTTTTGAACTGTTGCCTGTCACTCATTCTGTGGTTTCACAAAACATAATAGCTTTCCTCTATTATGCTCCTGACATGTTCATCAAGTCACTTGCTATGCTATGGTAGTCATCTGATGATGCTTGTTTATTGGTTTAACATTTGGGGATACATGGGAATATGTCTTATTTTCTCAAACTCTGAAAATCATATTGGAATTTCTAAAATTGCCATTTGTTAATATCATACAAAACATAGATGCCAGTCAGTAGACACATTGATTTCCAAGATATGAAATAAAGAGAGGAAGGGAGGGAGACAGAGAGAGAAAATACAGTATACTCTACATACTGCCCAAAAGAAACTATTGACTTACAATTATGTTGACACCCACCCCACCCTCAAATCCCTAAAAATAATACTCTCTCTCTGCTCGGTCTCTGATATAAAAGCAAGGAGGGGATTTCTAATTTATTCAAATCAGTCGAGACTTAAGAGTTTGGCAGTCAATCCTTTAATAAATATTTCATTTTAAAACTATACAATATTGCATATTCATTATACAATATTGCACTGTACACTGAAAATCCAGATGTAATAATATCTGGAAGCATTGAAAGAAAAATATGATTGTTTTTTTAAAAAAATAAAATAAAATTCCCTCAACTCTAAGAAATAAGTTTTTAGGTCAGCCACAATTGCTGACTGTGAAATTACTATGAGAAAATTTGGAAGGAGGGCACATGTAAAAATCAGTATGGGAACTTTGTCTTCAAATCTTCATTTCCCAGCATAGCTCTAAAAAACATTTTAGGATTTTTTAAAATATATGTCTAAAGAGTAAATCCCTTGCCTACTGACCCTAACCCTAACCCAGACCATGTCATGTGATGATTCTTCTGAGCTGAATGTTTATTGTTTCACACATAAAGACACACAATATTGCCAGACTGACAGCTCTACTATCTGCATCCACAATATATGCTGTGAACCAGTGGTGGGATTCAAATTTTTTTACTACTGGTTCTGTGGGCATGGCTTGGTGGGCGTGGCAGGGGAAGGTAAAATCTCCAGTCAGAGATAAATTTTGCCGGTTCTCTGAACTACTTAAAATGTCTGCTACTAGTTCTCCAGAATTGGTCAGAACCTGCTGAATATCACCTCTGCAGTGAACTATTAGGAAGGGGCTGTGTTGCCTCTTACACTTATGTAGTACATCACCTCCCTCCTAGGATTCTACTTCCTCACTACATTCCATCATAGCTACAATCCAGCTGCATGTAGTTGTTCGCTATGATTTAAACATATTGCAGCATTAAGAACTTATGTTCATATGTGTGAATGATTGTGACCATGGTAAGTGGGCATATAGATATATAGCCCTTTCTAACATAGATGTTTCTCATGCATTGCATGCTTCTTAGTGATTTTAACTGAAATGAATTTGGCAGGCCTATTTCCTTCATGTTGGATTTCCTTAAGCACCTTTGAAACATGAAAAAGTTGCACTAACCAATGAAAGGGCTTTGGGGCTTCCAGTAGAGTTGCATGAGTGCAAGTTGGTCCTGTTACATACAAGTACTGAAAACTCTGCTTTAAAATGTGGTGTGAAAGATACTTCTCTTTGTTGTCCCATCACAGCAAGTTGCATTTTCCAAGCTGAAAACAGAAAGAAACCAGTGGTGGGATTCAAATTTTTTTACTACCAGTTCTGTGGGCGTGGCTTGGTGGACGTGGAATGGCTTGGTGGGTGTGGCATGGCTTGGTGGGCATGGCGTGGGTTGGTGGGCGTGGCAGGGGAAGGATACTGTAAAATCTCCATTCCTACCTCACTCCAGGGGGAAGGTTACTGTAAAATCCATATTCCCTCCCCACCCCAATAATCTGCTTTCCATCTCCGTTCTCCTGTACAGGGCAACAAAAGAAGACCCAGTCGATCAGCTGGGACTTGGGAGGCAGAGAATAGATGGGGGCAGGGCCAGTCAGAGGTGGGATTCCAAACTACTAAAAATTTCCACTACCGGTTCTCCAGAACTGGTCAGAACCTGTTGAATACCACCTCAGAAAGAAACCCATCAAAATGGTATGTAATCCTAACTGGATTAATAATATTTCAGTTAACATAATTAACATTATTATACTGATTGATTGAGCTTAGAAAGAGTAATCAGACCAGATCATCCACTGAATTTCCAGTTGAACCTCGGTCTCCTTGAATTAGTCTAACTCACCAATATCTACACCACAGTGGATGTTTATTCCATTCTGATGCTTACAAATGATAATAAAATGCATTCTCATAACATTATAGTAAACATTCTTTTCAAAAAATGTTTCATACACTCATAATATTTTTACATTTTTATAATATTATGGTGGAATCATATTCCATGAAGGAATTTTGAAGTGAGCTCCAAAGGCATCCTCCGTTCCATGAGTCTTATTCTACTTCTAAAATCTGCATTCAAAACCTTCCACTTTCATCAATTCAATTTAATTCAAACCTGTTAGCAACCATTTTGGTTGCAGGAATTGGGTATGTCTAGTCTAGAAGAAGAACTAAGGGTAAAATGATAGCAGTGTTCCAATATTTGAGGCTGCCACAAAGAAGAGGGGGTCAATCTATTTTCCAAAGCACCAGAAGGCAAGACAACAAACAATGGATGGAAACTTAATCAAGAAGTTAAGCAACTTAGAACTAAGGAGAAATTTCCTCACAGTGAGAACAATTAACCAATGAGAACAGCCAATGAGAACATTCAGAAGTTGTGGGTGCTCCATCACTAGACGCTTTTAAGAAGAGATTGAACAGCTACTTGTTTGAAATGGTATAGGGTCTTCTGCTTGAGAAGGAGGTTGGACAAGAAAGATCTCCAACATCCCTTCCAACTCGGTTATTCTGTATTCTGTAAAATGTCTAACTTGGCATTTTACAGAATTCTGTAAAATGGCCATGTGATCCTAAGAAAGCTATTGGGAAAAAAATATCAAAGTTCATTCCTTCTGGAGCATACTAAACAAACAATCAGAATAAAACTGGAAAACCTTAACAAAGTTTTCAACAAATACTAGCCCTGCTACAAAGATTGTAGCAGGGATGTCGTGCTTTCACGCACTTTAACATGTCACCCCAGATTAAGTTAAACTCACAAGTCTTAATTAGTAATTTATACTCATATTTAAATATACTGAACATGTGAAAGGAATAAGGGAGTTCCTGGAAAATATTAATCTAAGCCTGCCTAAATTGCAGATTCCAGCTTGACCTGAATGACTATTAGTAATAGACTATTGTCTATTAATCAGCACCAGTCTGAAATAGTCAATGTACAGATGATTTCCATTAGAGTGAAAAACTGAATCGTAATTGGTTTTTTGGAGAGAGCTTATGGAACAGAGATGTATATGAATCAATCTTTTACAAATAACTCTGATGTCATATAGATGAGATGATCTTTGAGAACTCATCTGCAGTTTCTAGATATCTCCTTCAACTATTTAGTATACAGAATTAGCCGATAAGTAGGTAGGGGTTTAAATGCCTATTAAGTGATCCCTATCTTTCAGTGGATCTGTGTTTATAATTTTAATCATAAAAAGCTATTTGTATTGAAGTATTCCTTATATGAGGAACGTTCTATTGAAAACCTATCAATTAAATTAACTGTTTGTTCTGCTTTCTTATGTTGGCAATGGAATGAGCCCTGTCTGATTTCCTTATAAGAACATCCTATCTAAAAAAAAAGACAGAGAGGGTCAAGGGATTCATAAACACATATTAAACTTCTTTTCATTGAAATTAAGACTTTACTGAATTGATTGAAATACACTTAATATTTTACTGCAGTTTTGGTGATAGAAATTCTAGATATAGAAATTTTATTGGAACATGATGAAAGCCAGAAGCTAATATAATTAGTAGATGATGACATACAAGTCAAAAGTTGTATTTTAATGAGCATCCCTATAGCTTAGGAAATGTTTGATTTATTCTAAAGAAATAAACACTATACAGACTACATGTGAAGAAAAACCCGCTATGTTCCAAAGCCATGAAAGACATTTGTACCATAAAACATATACTGTGGGAACTATTAGGGAAGACCTGTCTTCACTTTCTTTCTCCCACACTCTAAACTGTGTTGTCTCTTGCTCCTCTGAAATGCACTCCCTTCCTCCTGGGAATCCAGACAACATTCTATCACAAAAATATCACAAATCAAAAGATACATTCACACCTTACTTAAAACTCTTCAAGTTTAAATGATAATAATGAAATCAATTACATGTTATGATATGTATTGACCAAACTATTTCTATATGCCTTATTATTGTTAATCATTTAATCTATTGCAAATGTAAGAAAAGAATTACATTACAACTGATATTTTACCTTGAAAGTGTCCATGATTGAATGGGCATTTAACCCAGACATTGTGCTCAGTTGCAAACTAAAAAGGGTTTAAAAGAAATTAACATTTAATTTGTGTTATCCAGCTTGAATTTTCTATTGCAATAAACTGAAGCAATATATTGAATGCTCTGGAGAAATTCTCCTATCAGGCAGAATGACAATGTTGCTTATAGGGTCAATAAGACCAAACAAATAATAGAGCAGCTATGACTGCATCCTAAATAGTAAGCCCACTAACACCAATCAGATAAACTTTTAAACAAATGTCCATAGAATTAAACTATGAAACTCTTCCTTGATATTTTAATGAAGGATAGTGGGAATAATGGACTTGTAACAATAATTTATAATATCCAGCATGTTCTAATTTATGATCTACTGCATGTCAATTCATTACCATATCTATAGCTTTTTGACAACATGAGCTGGATTTGTCAATCATGCTATGCCAAAATTATTCAAAATTATTTGAGTAGTATGAATTTGATATAAATTAGCCATTGCCCTTTAAAGCTATGGTTTACAGATTAATGTATTGCGTGAACCAGCTGTGGTTTATTCAATAAATCAATTACTGTTTGCAACAATAGGTGGTCCAAACCATACTGTTGGATACCTCTTTCCATCATAATTTTGTATCTACAATTAGCAATCTGGGCCAACAAAAGAGTTGACATTATTAGTCCTGCTTCTTTCTTCCAAATTGTCTCTGAAAGGTGATGATATTTAAGGTCAACATATAGATGGTTCATTTTACATTTATCATGTACTTTTGTGCAGTTCACGCAGCATTAGCTATTCAAATGGACAGGCAAAGGATGGGAAGGAGCTGTAAAATTCTTTTCCACCCTGCTATGTGGCTAAGACAAATTCTTCTTCTGAAACTGACATTTGCTTCAAAAAGACGTATCACTAGAAAAGGTCATTACTGTCAAATCAAATCAAATCTGTATTGAGGCCATAAACCAGAATAAAGGTCATAACCTCTCACTTAGGCATGACAATTGGACCTCGATATACCTTGATGCAAAGGCTTGGATGTGTATCAACTCGGGAATATTTCACCTGATTGAGAAAAGATTATTAGATTGTTAGACAATCCTGAAAAGAAAAGCAGCCAAACAAGAACATTCTATGAAATTTTAATGATATATCATGTACAATGAATGTAATTGGAGTAAAAAAGGGGGAAATCAACCTCCACTGACCCTATTTGTCTCCATAACTGCATTTGTCCATAACTAACTCCTCCCTGTACATTAAAATTATTCTGTACTTGGACAAGAATGTTAGATTCTTGTAATGAAGGCTGTCTGGTCTAATTGTAAAAGAAATCTCTGGGGCTAAGAAAGGGATGGGACTATTTCAAAAGAGTATTAACAATGAGCAGTGGGATGCTGTATATTAGAGTCAATTTCATCTAGAAAAGGGGTGGTTAGCCCTTTAGACTTGCCTCTTGAAAAAGGAAGTTCTTGACCTTGTTGAATTCACTATTAAATAAGTTTTGGTTTTGGTTCTTAATTGGTTTTGAAAAATCTACATAATACCCCCATACCTTGCTTGACAATAAGCCTGTCATCATGATTCAATTTCTGACAGTGCTTTCCTGACAGAGGATTTTAATTATGGCATCCTTAACAGAAGACCATTCATCACCTGTTTGAGTAACAGTCACCCATGCCATAGTCAATTTCTATTTCAACTGTTGTAACATGTTCTACATGGGGATGCTCTTAAAGAGTACCCAGAAATTTTAGTTGGCTCAAATCAAAACTTTAAAGCTTTTTAAAGTTCTACATGGCTTCTGGTCAGATTATTTGAAGAATCACTTCTCTCCAGTTACTTCTACCATCACTAGAATAGGAAGACAGAGACTGTTGAACATCTCATCTATTAAGGAAATAAATCTGGTGGAACTAAGAGAAAAGGCCTCCTTTGTAGTAGCTCCCTCTCTTATTCCCCCAGCAATAAGATTCGCCCCCACCTTGTTACTTTTCAGTAAGACTCCAAAGACATGGTTCTGTCAATAATCTTATGGACCCCAGATTGATATGGAGCTGATCAAGTGAGTTGTTTGATTGTGTTTGTTTCTGCTATAAGGGAGAAGGAACCAGGGGTAGGATTGAATAGTCATGTTTTATTGTTATATACCACCTAGAATCATTATGTGTGGTTTTGCTGGTCATATAAATCTGTTCAATAAATAAAATAAAAGCTCAAGTGAGTAAGCACCCCAAAAATAGACCATAACACTATTAATTAGTCCCTTTGCCCATTGGGAACTTTTTTTATGATAAGTGGTTGAAATTTGAAATAAAAGACATTTGTTATATCATTTATGCACCAAAAAGGTATAAAAAATATCCTTCATTGACTAGGAATGCATAATTATTGCAGTATGGATTCTATTGGGTACAAACTTTACAATGAGCTTACCAATGGATCCCATAATGAAATAAATACTAGTCAAAAATGGAACTCTGCTTTTCTTGATTTCCCTGTAAGATATTTTAAAAGTTACTGGATATAAAGGAGAAGTGTTTTATTTACTTTGCTAACTATTCACGCAGTGGGACGGGGGTGTATTCCCTTTTTTAAATGATGCACATTCATGCATAGAATGGACTTCTCTGTCTCATCACTTCCTTGAAAGCCCTTATATATTATCCTATTTCTGGCATTGATATAAGAGGAAGCATGAGTTGGAGAGCCCAGAATTGCTGCAAAAAAATAGCCTTTTTATTTCTGCAACATGATGAGGCAAGCCAAAATGAACTTCCTCTTCAAACTCAAGAAATACATGTTTCCATATAGTCAAATAGGTCTTTATGAAGCATTGATATGAAGTAGGAGTATTTGTGGAGAGCTAGAATTCTTGTGAACATCTGATACCTTTTTAAAAAGTGATGGAGGAGGAAAATGTTTTGGGTTACTTTGTGCTCTTAATAGTGTGTGATAGTTCTTTCATTACCATGCAGTTGTCATTTTAAAAAATCAACTGAATGAAAATCAATGGATTCCAGAGATCCATATATCCTCTATCTTGACTCACCCACTCCAAAACTCATAATAAACATGGTTAGTTAACTGTACAAAGAGTCTATTATGTACTTGTGAAAACCTTCTCTATTGTTGATGTGTGCAGATAACCATCTACATTATAAATCTATGTCTGCATGCAGTTCACACTAATTCAAAATCTTTGGCAGTTGCTTTCATTAGTGCCAGTTTTGTGAAAGAGGATTAGCACTGGATATAAGTGTGTCTTGATTCAGATGTTGCTCCATATGCATGTCAAAGAATATGAAGCAGTGTCTTCTATGTTTACAGTAGGACATCTGTGTGATTTAAATTTTAGAAAAGTGGGAGATATGTCAAAGGGAATGTACTGTATTTACAACCTAGAGCAACCCATTTTTCCTCCCCTTTCAGCTTGGAGAAAGTTGGACTGGAATGTGCATTTTTGGCCTTTATAAGTGAGTCAGATATCAGGAAAACAAAGGCATAAATGGTCTTCTGATTTTATTTGCATGGGCTGTTGAGCACTCTATAAGGCTTCATTATAGGAACCCGAGGAGTATAAAATATAGTTTAATAAATCTGGCTACAATGATTCAGTTGAACTAAATGAAGTTTCATGCATCTAAGAAACATTCATGACAGCCAATAGTGTGAAAAGATCTGGGCAATGACCCTGCCTCTTATAAAGTGAACATTTTCTTTTTTTATTATTACTTACTTTCTCTGCAGCAATGTTGACAGTACCCTCTAGATCAACACACTGATCATTAATCTTCATCAGTTGACAAAGGCTGACAGTAACATGAACAGGACAGGCAGATTCCCAAGTCAGTGTTTGTGTGGCAGCTTGGTAAACAATATTATCCCACAGGGACTTAGTATCTAAGACAAAGAGATGAAGAAAACAAAGACATATAAATATGAGTTCCTCTATCATTCAGAATGCTGATCTGAATCATTTCCCCCAAATGTGGCTATACTAAATGCCTATCATGTGGGCTAATTTAGGATGGAGAGAGTTGTGGCTTCATTGGGTTACTGTCAAGCCCAAAATTGACATCTGTGTAGCCATTTTAGTTAGGCATAATATATATTCTTTTTCTTACTTTCTCTGTGGCAGTCATGGGGGGAAGGGTTAGGGCTTGCCACATTCCTAAGTGGGGAGAAGTGGAGATAGAGTTGTTTTGGCTAGGTGATTCTCCTTCCCGTGGGAACTGAACTGTCTGTGCTTAGGCCCCCTTGAGGTGGAGATTTATGACATTAAGCAACGTTGAATTACTTCTATTGGAGAATGTGACTTTTGGGGGTTGTTTCTAACTTTTAATATTGTGGGGTAATTCCGGGTTGTGTCAGATCCGGAATTACCATGGACTTTGCCAATTTGATGCTTTCCTAAATAAAAGAATTTGTTTTGGAAGATGGACTTTGGTTTTCTTTTTAGATGGATTTCATCACTTGGAAACCTGACAGTTACCATATCTGAGTTTTTTAAAATCCCAATTCCTTCATCAAATAATCAAGAGTTTTCTATATCTTTGTTGCTATCTAGTACCCTTTTAGATGTTTCTAGCAAAGATGGGTGAAAACCCTGATCTGAACTGTGTGAAGCATGAACCTAGTTAACTCTTGAACTGTAAAGAAAAAAACTGTTCTTGTTATTCCTAGGACTCATCACTTGTGCTACAAAAACATAGGTCAGAGTTTTCTTCTGTGTGGTGGTTTGAATTCATGTAATTGACATTCCTTCCCCCTCTTTAAATCTCACACTTCATGCTATGAATGCATTTCTCTCCAATGGCCAAGGGTCAAGGGAGCTGAAGTACTGTACTAGGATGCCAAGTGGGAGAATCAACCACAGAAAATCAATAAGCAACCACAGAAAATGAATAAGGAAGTATTTGTAATACAGTATAACAGTGGCCCCCAACCTTTTTTTGTACCATGGACCGGTACCGGCATCACAAAATGATCAGCACGCACGACCAAGGCAAGGCGAGCCGAGCGACCGGCCAGCCAGCCGTCCCCCGCTTCTCCCCGCCACCTTCAACTCCTCCTTTGTACCTTCTTGCGGTCAATGGGCTTTTTGGGCTCTTTCTTAATCTCCTCCTGAGTAACACGAGACTCAACCGCCATCGGGACGGCTCTTCGTTCAAAGCCGCCCCCCCCCCTTCGACGAAACTAAGCCGCGAGGATTCCTTCAGCACCCAAACGCCGCTTTCCATCCAACTGATGACCGACAAGCTCACCCGGAAGCACTTTCTCAAGCGCCGTCAAAACAAGATGGCGGCGCCCAAGCAAAGTAGGCGGCCCAGTACAAAGTGATCCATGGACTGGTACCGGTCCAGGGCCCGGTGGTTGGGGATCCCTGCAGTATAACACTAGAATGAGGCTGTCCATCATTATTTGATTCGATGCTCATCATTATCAGTCTTCTGCAAACATTTAGCCCAGGTTCATGAAGGTTAAAAAGGGAGATGGATGTTAAGGTACATTCCCGCCCTTGTCCCTCTCCACATCTGTTTCCTTGCCTGCTTAATTTCCACTCCTCTCTGCTAGTGGAGTAATATCCAACCAAAACTTCAATTCATGTTTGCTTGAACATACAGTTAATAGAAACATCCACAAATCGGAAACTTTGCTTGTCAGATCTTGTTTGATAGCGGAGGTAGAACTTGCAATTTAATCTTAATGAGGACAAGCTAGCCTCTCTATTGTGGTTCAATTTTAGAGTAAAGAGTAAGAAATTCATTCTGAATTATGGAGTTCAAAGGAAATTCTACCAGTCACACCTTTGCAGGTGAAATCTCAACTTAACTGCACAGTATTCACTGAACCAGGAAAGATAAAAATCCTTGAGGTGGATTGCAGTCTGCGAGATCATATTTATAATTTCAATAGATTTGCCAGAAAAATATCCCTTTTTAATAACCACCAATAGTTTGAAACCCATATCAAATAATCTTGCAGAATTCATTCATTTTGCTAGAAGGTATGATCTTTATAAAGTTATAGAATGTCCTCTCTCTTTTTCTGTTTTTTTTATTTACTTTTCTTTCCATAAGATTTGATTAAAGTCAACCGAATACCACTTCTTCACCTGACCCATTTAGGGCTTTAACAATAATAACCAGCATCTTTATCACCAGTGCAAGTGGGGTTGCTCTGGCAAATAGAGAAACCACATCATAAAGAAGTTCAGATGATACCACTTCACTGGCTTTGGTGAGACTCCATAAATTACAATATGCCCTAAATGTTTTCTTAAGCATCTGCTCAACAGTCGAACATGCAAACAATAGTTAGCATCATGGGCACAGTAGCTTTGATTTGTGACAACAAAGCACTTCACAGTGTTCCACAGCCTCATCTAGCATTTCTAAGAGTTGGAAGAACCTTGCAGATACTGCAAGTGCCAGCTGAGGATACAGAAGTTGCCCCTAGAGAAGAGCCAGATTCTCCTGTGGACCCTTTCAACACTTGCTGCTATTTCTTACTTAGTATCCATGATGATACTTCTTCATTCTGCCTCTCTTAAGGCCTGCATTCAATTCCCCCAAACACTTTGTTTTTGAAATAGTTCATTCTTATTGCTTTGCTTTTTTGAAAGGTAAACAAGATCAGTATTTTTGTTTTTAATCCGGTGAGCAAAAAGGTAGCCTGAAGTGAGTGTATCATATAAGCGCTGCATAAATCTTGACGACTGCAAGAGAGCAGTCAAGAGGCATCATTTTGTAACTCTTTGCTCCCATCTGGTAGTCATCAGGATTTTCACAGCCCAGATATAGTACTGCTAGGCTGAGGGGAGAAACCACAGGTGGGATTCTACCAGTTCGGTACAGTTTGGGCGAACCGGTAGCTCCAAAGATCAGCTGGGAGCAAACTGGTTTGGTTTGCTTAGACGATCAGTTGTTGGGCCCACCTGCCTGCCAGGGCTCTAGGCTGTGCTTTATATCCTGTTTTTCAAGTTCAGCTGATTCGCGTGGCACAGGAGATTGCCACAAGTCAACTGTTTAACACACTGGGATTGCTGGAGAAGGTCAGTAACAAATACACTATGCGTGCATAATGCATGTCCTCACCGAACCAGTTGTTACACTGTTTGAATCATTTTATGCCACCAGATAAAGACTGAATGCACCAATTATCATATTAAACCTTCTATCACCAATTCCACCGTGCTTTCTACAATTTTGTAAACAACAAACTAAAAAACTCAAGGTCCATCCCACCCCTGAAAGGACCTAATGGTAAAGACTGTAACGACGACACCATTAAAGCCAACCTCTTTAACACATTCTTTGGCTCAGTATTTGTAAACAGCGATGAATCAAGCCCAGTACTTCCTAGTCGAACCACAGACAACTACAATGATCTAATACATATTGATTTTACAGAAGACAATGTTGAAAAAGCACTACACAATCTGAAACCATCCATATATATTGGACCGGATGGAATATGTGCCTACTTCTTAAAAAAGCCACTGCCATAGCCAAACCTCTAAGCATAATCTTTGAAAAATCTTTCAGGACCAGATCCTTGCCAAACCTATGGTCACAAGCCACGGTCATCCCCATCTTCAAAAAGGAAGAGCCAAGACTAGTTGAAAATGACAGACCAATCTCTTTATGTTGCGTCACCTGTAAAGTCATGGAATCAATTATTAACCAATCCATTATCCTCCACTTAGAGACAAACAACCTACTCTCTAATAAAAAAATTGGTTTCAGGAAAAAACTATCCTGTAATCTGTAACTCTTACACTGCAAAAACATATGGACTACACAACTCGATTAGGGCAAAGCAATAGATGCAATCTACATAGACTTCTGTAAAGCCTTTGATTCAGTGGTACACGACAAACTACTCCTAAAACTAAATTCTTATGGTATCTCTGGACACCTGCATAACTGGATAGAAGCATTCCGGTCAAACAGACAACAAATGGTCAAAATTGGGAGCATCCTATCAAATTCTGTACCTGTCAACAGTGACGTACCCCAAGGCAGTGTTCTAGGACCAACTCTCTTCATACTCTACATAAATGACCTCTGTGATCATATTAAGAGCAACTGCGTTCTCTTCGCTGATGATATAAAACTATTCAACACCACAGATAATTCTGCTAGCCTTCAAAAAGACCTCGACTATGTATCAGAATGGTTAAACAAATGGCAACTTCAAATCTCAAGAAATAAATGCTCTGCCTTACATATTGGCAAAAAAAAATCAGAAAATAAAATATAAGCTGAATAGTCAAGACCTTGTTGATGATCCAAACTCTGTCAAGGACCTTGGAGTACTCATCTCAAATGATCTAAGTGCTAGAGCCCACTGTAACTACATAGCCAAAAAGGCATTAAGAGTTGTTAACCTAATCCTACTTAGCTTTTTCTCTGGTAATATCACACTACTACCGTAACTAGAGCATATAAAACATTTGCTAGACCAATACTTTAATACAGCTCATCAGTCTGGAACCCACATTACATATCTGATATTAACAGTTGAGAAAGTCCAGAAATATTTCACAAGAAGAGTTCTCCACTCCTCTACTCATTGCAGAATACCTTATGCCACCAGACTTGAAATTCTAGACCTAGAAAACCTAGCACTACGCCGCCTTTGGTCCGATCTAAGTATAGTATATAAAATCATACATTGCAATGTCCTACCTGTCAATGAATACTTCAGCTTTAACCATAACAATACAAGAACAAACAATAGATACAAACTCAAGCTAAACCACACCAAACTTTATTGGAGGAAATACGACTTCAGCAACAGAGTGGTCAATGTCTGGAATATTCTACCTGACTCTGTAGTTTCTTCCCCAAGCCCCAAAAACTTTAGAGAAACCTTAGAGTTTCTACTATTGACCTCACCCCCTTCCTAAGAGGTCTGTAGGGGGTGTGCATAAGCGCACCAATGTGCCTACTGTCCCTGTCCTATTGTTTCTGTTATTTTTCCTATATCTATCCATGTATTCATAACTATGTTTATACTTATGCCTATTATCTTGTAAGCAATTGACAAATAAAAGAAAAGAAAAAAAGAAAAGAAAAATCACACCCCTGGGACAAACCATCAGAACAGAGAGACTAGTCATTCCTTCTTGTTTCCTCTTCTGTTCCACTTAAAATTTCTGGTGCTTATAACCAATAGTTTTATTGTTTTTCAAGTTAATATTCTGTGGTTCTGTTCAGTGGTACAGGTGAAGAGGATAAACCTCAGAATGCATTGTTACACTGAGCTATTTCATACATATCTATATCTATATATCTACATCTAATCTATCTATCTCTGTCTATCTATCTATCTATCTATCTATCTATCTATCTATCTATCTATCTATGTTACATGGCCTATGGTATCATACTAATATGGCCTACTCTGTCATTTGACTTGAATCCATGGTCATCCTACAATTAGATCAGAATGATAAGTGAATGTTATGTGCCTGTTTTGTAACAGCAACCAAAATACTGAGATTTTTGCAATTATTCCCATTATTATAAAAATAAGAAAAACAGTCAGGTTCTGCTTGTTGTTATAGAGCTCACTCCAAAATTTTTATAAACAAGCAAATGTAGGAACACATCTGTAGAAAAGAAGTCAGTTTTATGTATTGGGTTGTTTACTCTACAATTTGTGTATGCTACCCACTCAAATGACTCAAGTGAAAGATTATTGGGGGGGGCTACATGTGACATTATTCTTCCCACCCGTTATGTTTCTGAAATTGCATAATCAGAATTACTCAGAAAAAGCAAAGAAGCACATTTCACTTGCCATTTTTGAATGGGCACAACTGCATTCTTCGTGCATCCAAAATTGCCGGCCATACCTGTAATCCAAATATGTATCCATTAGTTCAAATACTGTAAGTTTTACATTGCTTTTCAATTAAGTATTGCCTGTGTGACACTTTCTATGTGGCCTTTCTCCTAAAGTGTCTTATGGAGTAATCCAAATAACATAAATGTATAATAGGAAAGAATGCACCAAAAATAAACCTCTCAGTTCTTCTCTGGAAAGATCTAAATAAAATGAATGTCACTATTTTTTTTGTAATGATTAAATATTGAAAACTGGATGTAATACTAATGCAAACCATTTTGAGATTTTTGTTATCTGTGTGTCATGGGTGGGAAGTTTCCATTTAGGATTAGCCCTCTCCCCTAAGTCATGATCTCAGAGCTGTCTGTAGGGTGTGCTCAAAACTGTCAAGATGGTGGCCACAATGGCATAATCAAAATAACAGCTGATTTTTTTTGTATGTTGATCCAATCCTGTAGACAGCTGTTAATGGGCATTTGTAAGATTCCTATATATTGAGCTAGCTTGTACATCAATTTATATGGAAACATTTACCTCAATACAGAGACAAGGCAGCAGTTGAGTGTATTGCAAAGAAGCAGATTTTGTCAAGTCTTTTCCCTGAATCTGAAATTATAAAACAGCAGGTGATAGGTCAAACATTTTTGCACAGACAGAAGAGATGCAGAAAGATGTATGTGCCTATACAAATATCATCCAGGCATTTTGCTGTTCTACTTCAAGCTGGTGCAAGATGATTTCTTCAGCACTTTAAGCTTTAATATTCCAAAACGTTGCAGTTATTTATGGATTGTTCCAGGATCATGGTAGAATTAAAGTTGCCTTTTGACTTATTCAAAGTAATTCCATGTATATGTTTAGAGTGCACTGATTACTTGGGAAGAGAGAAAATGCTTTTGCAGTTGTGCCAAAGACAACTATCTACTCAAAAGAGATGGAGAAAAACCCTAGTCCTTTGAAAAAGATTAAAAGACTTTAGATTTTTGAATCCCAGTTACACCCCTCAGCTTCCCTTCCAAATAAAATGCTCGGACCTTAAAAGTTTTATCCATCTTTGCTTTCCAACAATTATAGTTACATGTCTCTGCATTATCTTTCTTTAGCATTAGTTCAAACATTAAAAGCAGATAAATAACATGATCCAAAATTAACAGGAGTCAGTCTAATATTTACTGACATAGGAATATGCCAAGAAATCTAGGCTTGTGTATTGTGTTTGTCTGTGAGTCAGAGTTTCACAGCCATTTCTGTTTTAAATTTGGTACTAGTCTACTGCTGTGCCAGAATGTTTTTTTCTTCATCCTGATTGGTTGGGAGTCTTGGTCTGTATTCATTGGTCTTGGAGTTTGCTGTGTTCTGCTTGATTGGTGTTTCTAATATCTTCTGTCTGTTTTGTAGCTTTTTTTTTGTCGATTGGCTGGCAACATTGTGTTTCCTGTATTGGAGGCTTTTAGTGCAGGTTGGCTCTGAGTAAACGGACGGCTATCATTTATTAGGAAGCTAAGTTTCATCTGGGTGCCTGGTTGGGGTGTGTTTGAGCTGGAGGTATCGGGGGTCTGTTTGTGCCCAGGTGTTTGCCTGGCTTGTGGTGTGGAGATATATATATATTCATAAACTGGTATTCTCTTTCTATAAACACTTTAATAGTGAAAACAAGTCCAAATCTTATCATTTGCATTTAGAAATCCTTAAAACTTCTGTTCATTTAACTGCTCACAATTAGATGTTTTCAAATACTTGAGGGAATGGGATAAGGAAAAGAGAAAAGGGTGGAAGGAAGAATGGTGCAGATGTTAGGAAAAGGGGGAAAATAATAATTTTTAAAAATATATTTCTATTATTCTTAGAATTTCCATGGAATTATGTTACCCTTTAAATGCCTTCAGTAAGGTAAAAGGTATTATACTTTTTTGCTAGCTGAATTAATTTCATAAAACATTTTCAACTTCTTTTAAGTACTTACCAAAGTAACAGGCCCCACATCTTCACATACAAATCTTTGATGACATAAACGAACATAACAGTCTGTGTTTTGGACATCTGAAATATTCACTGAAATGATTTTTCTTGTTCTGTCCACATTATAAGCCATTTTGCTCACTGAAATTTACAACAAAGAAAAAACTGTAATGTACTGTTTTATGTTTGTATTTTTGGCAGCTAAAATTGTGTCCATACAAGACATGATAATTGAGGAGTTTAAATTTTATTTTATTTTATTTTTATTTGATTTGTCAATTGCTTACAAGATAATAGGAATGTGTATAAACATGAGTAAGAATATAGGAAATAGGTATGAATAAATGGGGACAATAGAACAGGGATGGTAGGCATGATTGTGCAATTACACACATATCTTACAGATTTCTTAGGTTACTTATTTGGAATATTAGTGTCATTTGTGTAGGAAATTTGATTTGAATAATTATTGAATGTTAGTGTAGAATCTTATACAAATTCATCTGGAGTAAATATAAGTAAAATTGTAGTACCAAGTGTCAATTCTTAAAGAATCCCAAGATGAAATGTCTCAGACTGCAGATGTCCAGTTGGAAGTAGGTCCCTTAAGAAGTAGGTCCAATTGGAAGTAGGTCAAATTAAGTAAAGCACTAGAAATCATATGCATTTTGTAATAATTCCTTTCTGTGTGTGAAAGAGTGTGAGTGTGTGTGTGTGTGTGTGTGTGTGTGTGTGTGTGTGTGTGTAAGTGAGTGCCTTCAAGTCAGTGTTACCCTTGTCAATTGCCAGAAGAAGTTTCTGCAGTTTCTCTTGGCAGAAGTGATTCACCATTTTGTTTTTTCCTCTTAGAGCTGAGAGAGACTGGTCCAAGATCAACCAGTTGGCTTCATGCTAGAACTCTCAATTACTGGCTTTCTAGCCTGATGCCTTTAACCATTACACTAAACTTAGTAAGTTGTGCTACTCTTGCATTCCAGTCCTCACTGTGTCCTATTTCTGGACTCCTTGATTCAAGCCCAGGTGGCCAGCTTCAGAAGAAAAAGAAGAATTTAAGAACTACTTAGGAATCAAGCTGAATTTGATAGATAATACTCACTTGTCATTGTTGATGAAACATTTAGTAGACTAATAAATATGCTACTGTTTTTAGACCGCGGAGACCTCAACTTACCAAAACAATCTGGAATATTTTTCCCCACATCGCTGTTTCTGCAGTCTGCAAAATAAAAAAACAGATTTTCAACGTGTTTGTTTTCTTAAGACATCTGCTGTTTTATTTTCATGAGGGATGGTCAGAAATCAGTAGAAATCCCTTAATAGTATATAGGTTACACATATTTAATTGATTCAGCTATGATATAAATAAGGGAATTAATTGGAGTGAACAACCTGAAGAGGGGAATTTTTTTTCTCAAATACAATTATGTTCTTTCTGCTTCTAGGTCTATGTGTGATTGCTTTGATTTTGGAGAAGTGCCTTTTATGAACCTAACGATATAATGGCTTACTTAAGCCAGGACTTAGTGTGATTCTAAGCCTTCCTGGAGGGAGGAATGATAGGAAGAAAGGAGTAACGAATTTGCTTAATTATAAAGGTTCACATGGAATCACATTATTCACTCAGTATTCTGATAACATTTATTTATTTGAAATATATAAAAAAAATTCTCACCCTTATGGGTATATGTCTTTCGTAATGTTGGGCCCTCTAGCCTGGAGGTTTGAGGGATCTGCACAGTATCTTAGCTGTTCCTAACCTTACACTCTTCTGGACAGAGAGTTCTGGTGTCATTCCTGGAATCTGTTGGAGTCACCCAGTGGTGGGATTCAAACAATTTTACTACCAGGTCTGTGGGCGTGGTTTGTGGGCATGGCAGGGGAAGGATACTGTAAAATCTCCAGTCAGAGGTGGTGTTTGCCGGTTTTCTGAACTACTCAAAATTTCCGCTACCGGTTCTCCAGAACTGGCCAGAACTTGCTAAACACCACTTCTGGAGCCACCCCTCCAATTGAGGAGTCACAGCCCTGAGTGCTCCTACTACCACTGGGATCTCTTTGGCCTTCACTTTTCACATCCTCTCATTTCCTCTTCAGGCCCCAGTACTTCTCCCAAATGTTTTCTCTATGTACATATAAACCCAAGAGGCACTACTAGGATGCAGTCATTCCACTAATTGCAATTATCCATCCCACATTGTTCCATTTTATTAAGAAGACTATTGTCAAGTTTATCATAGGTTTTACTGTAGTCTTAACTCCATTTCAGCAATCCCTTGGTTTATGAATCTTATTGCTTTAGACCACTTTCGGCATTTGGCTAAAACTATATAAATTTATGTTTTTATTAAAGTTTTTAATCTTTTAAAATTTAAATTAATAATTTCCACCTTTCTAGTTCCTGTTTTTCTGAACACAAAACAAGATGAGACTTTAATACACAGTTAGGGCAGCTTGCTCCTCAGCATTGACCCTTATGTTGGCTTCTTGGCAGATTTCTCAGATCTGCAGAATCCTGCTCTCTTTTGTGGACTCTTTATTACATACCTCTGCCTACAACTGGGTGGTTGAACTGTCAGTGGGTGCAGTTAAGGAGGCTTGGAGACTTAATGGGCCTGCTTCAACCAGAATAGAGTCATTGGCTTCACCACCACTGCTAAATTTATTGTCTTTAAATACACCTGATTCTACTTCCTCTCCATCTTCCTATATCAGAGAATATGTCTAGCAGGGTCATAACATGAATGTTTTTGTAGGACAGTATTTCTCAACCTTGGCCACTTTAAGATGTGTGGACTTCAACTCCCAG